AGACTACCCACAAATACTTTTCAAAATATTATATAAAAAATACTGTAATACGGGACTTACTTTTTTAACCCCACCAATCTTCTACCTCTGAGTGATATTATATCTAATACAGTAATAATTCAATAAAACAATAATAATAAAACCACACTAATCCTCTCGCTTTACCGCCTGCGGCGCACTTAGTGCCAACGAACTGGGATAGTCCTCTGGATACTCCTGATCGGTATTAGTGGAATCTATGACCAACATGGGTGTGAGTGCGAGCGCGAGTGAGTTGTGTGTGATGTGTGGGAGAGTGTTGGCCATAGCCACTGCTGCTACTCGATGAGGGGTGGGGGACGATGAAAAAGGGAGGGGCAGCTCCTGGCAGGTCTCGGTCTTTGTGTTAGCCAGACCCCCACTGGCGGCCCCAACCCTATACCCTAAACATTAGGCGCAAGGGGCAACATGAAATCTCCCCTTCACAGTGAGAGGAAACTATGCTTGCAGGGGGCCCCTCTAGACAGCCTTAGGAGTAGGTAGTGAAAGGCAAAAACAGAAGTTGAGAGAAGAATATAGAAAAAAAAAATATATATATATATATAGATATATATACAATAATATAATAATATTAATACTTATAAAAAACCCACCCTGCCACGTGCTCAACTATACAAAGCCCTTCGTCTCTCCTTAGGTTTCGAGTTCGCTTTTTCTTAGTTTTTTCTCAACTTCAACTTCCTTTTTTTCTGTCTTTTGACACGGTGATGGCCTTGGAATTACCATATCATTGAACTGACCTGCGCTTTCGAGTTCGCTTTTTCTTTACTCAGTTTTTTCAACTTCCTTTTTTTCTGTCTTTTGACGGGGTGATGGCCTTGGAATCACCATATCACTTGAACTGACCTGCGCTTTCAGAATTGCTTTATTACTGTATTACGTATGTTCATCTCATTCCAACCGGATTCGAACGCCGGTGCGAATTTCAACAATTTATTATAGGTGCACCCCCAAGTGAGCTATGGTAGGCCCGCTGTGGTTTTTCGGACCCTTTATCTTTTTTTCTTTTTTCTTTTTTTTTGTTGCTACCTTGTTTACTGACCTGAAGAAACTTCGGGATGTGCCGCACATACACTGGCGCGTCGCGATCTGGACGACCTCCGCCAGCTGTGCCCCCACCCCGGAATCCCCCGCCGGACATTGTTGACGTCAACAACTTGTGACCTCCCTGCGTATAGATGAGAATGCAGGGGCGGCCTGCCTACGTGTACCTCTCTCTCCTGTCCTGCCACGTGTTTGGATGAGATCAAATGAGATCAGAGGAGATAGGATATGATTGGATCAGATCAAACGAGATAAGATCAGATCGGAATTGATTAGATCAGATCGCATGTCACGGGCACTCCGTCGTCGAATTGCACATGTAATCTGTCTCGGCCTCGCTCAAGTAATGAATTTTTCGCTAGAACATGGAAAGATGCACCGCCATATTTTTTTGTCTTTTCTGAATGTGGTGAGTCGTGGATCGAAGCCCTATCTCTCTTTGTCATTCGTCGGTCTTACAGTCGAGATGGTTGTGATGTGCCCGCGCTGGTAGTAGATCGAAGCAGATTGGAGACAATCAGATCGCGGTAGAGAAGGTAGTAAGTATGAGATCGGAAGGCTGCGATCTGCGCAATCTCCGCGGCAGCGCGGCGAGCTGTGCGCGAGCGCGGCTTGCCCTGTGCGGGAGAGCGATTGCGCACGGGCGCGCCCAGTGTGGAGGAAGATTCCCTCCTGCTGCGCCCGTGGCGCAGCTCTGGCCCACTGCTTCCCCCCTCCTCGTCACTGGTCCTGCCCCCGCGCTCTTTTTGTTCCAGCTCCGCGGTCGGGTGCGCCTTTACTCGCTGGTCTGTCCGGGCGGTGCTCGCGCGCGCGCGCTCGGCCCCCCACGCATGCTCAGCGCCATCCAAAACAGGTCGCTGAGGATCTTCCCGCCATCGCAAACGCAAGGAAATTTTCGCGTTTCGATTTTGGCTATGGCGCTCAGCTGTCTCCAGCCCGTCCGGCTCACGTCGTCCCGCCGACTACATCCAACGACCGTTGGTGTTCCGCGCCCCACACGGCCTCGCCGCGCTGCTCACCAAATGTGCAGCATTTGGTACGTATCTCCCCCCAGAACGTAGAAAGATTCACTCCCTATAGTGCCGCTGCTCCCCGCAGGGATTCTCCACGCTCGGCAATCGCCCTGCCCCTAAAGCACCAGTACACCACATATCGGCCCGCGGGTGTCAGCATGAAACCCGCACCACTTCGGAGGCCGCCGATTTTGCTTTTTCAATTTTCAACGGCGGGCCTGCCCGCGCGGCGCCTTCGAGTTTTGCTTGTGGCGCCAAAAACTTTCTTTTCTGAAAGGCTGGGGCCGTGTGTACCACGGCAGCCGTCTAAAAAAGGTTCAGGGCCCAAAAATTCAAAAAGGGCAAAGAAAGGACGGTCGCGCGCACGTTTTTTGGCCGAGCACCGAGGGCGCGGGATGACGAACTATCCAACGCGCGGCGACATTATATTTCCTGGAGCACCTTGGAGGCCTCCCGCGAGATCCCCGCCGAGTCCGTTTTTCATTTACCTCAAGGTCCTCCCGCGAGATGGCCGCCGAACCGGTTTTTCTTTTACCCCTTATTTTCTTTCAGTCGCGGTCTACGTCAGTTGGTTGAGCACGGGAGTAGCGTTGGCATTCCGGAGGTCGTGGGTTTAATCCCCAGTTCGCAGTGGGCTTCGGCGTCTGGTCAAGGTGTCACATTTTTGGCGGCGGGCGACCACAATTAAAAGTGGGTTCTTAGGGGGCAAAAAAAATTGGGGGGCCGGTCCTTGAAAAAATAGCGGACTACCTACAGCTAGCTCTGGTAGAACCGGGACTTTTGGAAACAGGGAGAACCGGTCCTCGGGTGGAAGTGGACCCCAAAAAGAAGTGGGGGCCGTTGGACCGGTCCTCGGGTACCCCAAACAGAAGTGCGCGCATGTGAACTGCAAAAGGGCCCTCCGGCCTAGGCGTTGAGGCCCGTCTTCTCAAAACAGGGAGATCAGGCACAACGAAACAGGCGTTTTGCAAGAGGCAACTTCGACGATTTTTTGTTCTCGGACAAACTCGCAGAAAAATCTGAAATTTTAAGAATCCAGAGACGAGGTCGTGTTCTTTCCAGGAATAATAATAGAACATTTTCAACAAATCATTTAGACTGCGGAATAATCATCAGGCCGATTCAGCATTTTTTTTATTTTTGCCACTCAGCCATGTGTGGGCCAACTAAAAAAGTACTCCAAATCCAGTGAGTTCGCAGCTTGTCAGGGTTGCGTTTTCCCCCCCTGAGACATTTCAATGTTCACTGTTATTTCAACGTCGTGGTCGTCGGGAGGGTGGGCATTTTGAGGTTTTGGGGCCTTGCAAGGGTCAGGACCACGTAGGACCGGTAGCTGCGTGGAGGAGGCTGAGGGAGGCCGCGGTCCTGAAGCCTTTTTCGAAATTGAAACGGTGCGGGTGCACTTTTCTCGAATACCACAGTTTCCTCGAATAGAAAATGTACACGTTGTATTCGAATACAACCTGTACCCTTTCTATTCTATTCGGATTTCGAAAAGAAAAACTTTTGTATTCCGATAAACTTACTTCTTATTTTTGTTGGAGGTCAGCGCCTGCCCTCTTGCGCCCCGCCACTGACATG